TCGTCCCGTATTCGTTGGAGGTGCCCGGCTTCTGTAGGAAAGAGCCGGTGGGGGCGACAATTTTGTTCAAAACCCGGTTTTGCCGTTTGTAAGAGACCGGCAGGCACCCCAGGAGAAAGGGTTGAGCCTTAGGCCGGATGGGGAGTGATTGTGGGGATTCTCGCCAACGATCGTTCAAAGCGAAACTGCCGGGGATACAGGGCCTTTTGAGAGGTCGTTTGGGGTCCTACTTACGCTCAGCCGCCATTGTCCCCATATAACCATCACCACCCGTGGGTTCTTGTAAAGTCGCCCCGACACGGATGAGGGTACCTAATTTTTATGTTCATAAGGGAAGCCAGTGAGCAGGAGGAAGTTCCGCACTAGGCCGTGGTCGGTTTCGCCTGTCCGGGCTCCGCTCAGCTCTTGTGCTTTGCTCGCAGGCTCAAGCTCTCATCCCCCGCCGTGTATCTTGCTCTTTGCTTAAGTAGGAGAGAATCAGTGCAGATCATTTACACCTGGTTATTCTTCATTTACCAGCACCGTCCCTTGAACCATTCCCCCGTTTTCCCCCTGGCAGTTGAGCTAACCACGCCCTTCCCCCACAAACAGTAAATGTATCATATTTTTAATATTCAAAAAACTACCTTTTTAATTGTACCCATGTAAAACTTTTGGGGGGGGGGGGGGGGGGGGCGTGGCAAGGCGTCTGGCAGGTGTCAGCAGACTCATTCGGCACTTGACCTACCCACCAGCTTCCAATTTAGAGAAAACATTTGTTTTCACAAATGTTTTCACAGCTCTAAGATAAGACAGAAAATAGCAGAGAAAGTTGATTTTGAAGCACTGAGTTGAAGGAGCCTCAGATCTTCATGGATTAGATTAATATGATAAAGATGAATAAGAAAATAATGAGTGATAGTGATTCATTTGAACATGGTTAATTGATGTATCTGCACATGTAGATATATAGGGTTGCTACGGAGGTGCCACGTCATTGAAAGCTCATCGTTTCCTTGCCGTTAGTTGTATAAAAGAAAATAATTTATTCACGGCTACATACCGTCTACAGCTGTGATCAGGACGATTGTACTTAGAAATAAGAGCATCGCGCTCCGCCGCAAGATCACGTCATCCGTTTAGGGTGGCGCATGCTTCTGCGTCGTGCCGTCATGGTGTATTGCAGGGCAATTCACTACCATTCGTTATACGTGTAACCATCGCTTGATGTTTTCTTAATTTAAGTTTAACCAAATTCTTACTTTAACCTAAAGATTTCAAATTCGCCTACGAAGCCAAATGTGTGTGGAAAAAAACAACGACGTGTCAGTTCAGCTGTCACTGCGGTGCATTTATAGACTGTATTCATAAATACAACAATTCGGTTAGTCTTAAGTCCATCCGGTTCATCACACGAGGAAAGAAAAATATGGAAAAAAGTATATAATCCACTTTGAGGTCCTTGGAAATGTTTTTAGTGTCCTTGTCCTACCGCGTCTCCACCGTTGGTTGGTCCGTCTGGTATCTCCCAATGGTAACCCGTACGCGGTTCAGGTACCACTCGTGTCCTAGTTCAAAAGCCTGACCGCTGAACGAGGAATTCTGTGCGCACCCGCTTTAGTTCTGTCCTTTGCCAAATCATTACGTGTTTGGCGGCTCTCTGGGAGCATTTGAGCTAATTTAGCTGTTCGTTGGAATCGGATGCTGACTCCTTCTTCTTCTTCTTCTTCTTTTGTTTTTTTATGGCCGGTGGCAAACAGCTTTTCGGTGCATTACCGCCACCCACTGATCTGAAGTGTGGACTTAAGAAAATTAAACCTCTACTACACATATGTCAGAGTCAAGGCCCGCGGGCCACATCCGGCCCGCGAGAAGGTTTTTTACGGCCCCTGGGATGATCTTGATTTATTATTAGAACCGGCCCGCAGACCGCAGCAAGCCGGCAGATCTTTTACACGCACCAATACTACATTTCCCACAATGCAACGGTGACGCACCGAGCAGTAGGCTGCTTCATTTCAATATTTATTGGCACAGCAGTTGTCAGCATCACAGTAAAATTAACTTTCGGATACCCATCAAAAATGGCAAAACGGAAGGTGGACACTGAGAACCGGGGGTTTCAAACAAGGTGGGAGTCGGAGTATTTGTTCACGGAGGTAGCTGGAAAACCTGTGTGTCTTCTGTGTGGAGAAAGTGTGGCGGTACGGAAAGAGTATAATCTGCGTTCCCGAGCGCACAGTTGGCTGAT